AATTATTTTATTTATAAGTGATACGAACATCACAGTAGTCTTGCCGTACACAGCATTGTTAAACAGTTTGTATAACATTTTTCAAAATTCGTTTTTCGCTTGTTTACGCATCTCACTATTCAAATTAATATATGTCTTGAACTATGGGCTCTAATTAAACTTTAAAACCCGATGTATCTTGGCGAGGTGCAACCTATGCCTTATTGCTTGTTTCAGAGCTCTATAGTGGATTACGTAACGCTCCTTATCATCGAAAGTTGTCATGAGCTTTTTCTGTTTGTATTCCGGACTAGCTTTGCGCTTTATTATAGTATTTTTTCATTCAGGCTTTCCCATTTTATTTTCGAAAAAATGAAATCTAATTGTTTTTCTTTGATTACATATACAAGAAAAATATAGTAGTATTATTGAAATATTATTTTTGCATACATGCCTCGCATATTCATGTGTGCTGTACTTTATGTACAGTATATATTAGTATAAATATAGTATATATAAGTATATGAAATAAAAAATTATTGACCTTTATTAAAAAAGTTTGGTGTTGTAAAATACCAGTTATGGTTATTATCAAGTATGCCTCGACGTAAAGGGCACCCAGTAAATTTTAGTGAACTCGCAAAGAAGAGATGAAAGAAAGCCAAAATCGATAAAGAAGAAATTGTTAGTAATAGTAGGACTAATTTAGAAAATATATCATATGAAAGAAACATAAGATCTCAAATAAAATTTGATTTTATTTTTAGTATTAGCCAGAAAAAAAATACTGAAAAAACGATACATGAATCTCATAGTGTAATGAAGTTGCATAAATCTTATTCTGAACAAAATATTGATAAATCTTATGCTGAAGAAAAGATAGAAATGTGAGTATATCTTCTTGATTTTTCACAATTATCATCATTATTATCAAAAGAAAAGTGTGCAGATTGCAATCAAAACACTTTGAGTTTTGAATTGCATCTAACATGTTGGGGATTTTCTCGGAAAGTCGCGTTGAAATGTTCTTATTGCGAGATGAGTGGATATCAATCTTCTATCAAATTACAGGTTTATATATGAAAACTATATATACTATATATCAAGACAGTATGTTCGTTTATATCAAAACTATGTTGCAAAAAATCTAGTAGCAGAGTTTCTTTTGATGTAAATACGAATCTTAGCTTGGAATTTTAACATGCAGGAAAAGGATATTCGTGCATTCGACAATTTACTACGATCATGAATATGCAATCTTACTCCCTTGACACTTTTCAAGAAAATATGCAACTTATATAAAATGCTGTTGATGAATCTACCAAAGTGATATTAGATGAATGTCAGACTATTGTGAAAAATACATATAAAAACTTAAATTCCGATTGTTATTCTGAGCTAGTTAAGAATGAATCTGAAGAAATTTTTAAATTATATTCTGATGATAATGAAATTGATGATGATTCGAAAACAAATTCTGATTATCAGTTGATTTCTAATAAGTCTGATAAGAATCCAGTATTGGATTCTGATGATAAATATAGTGATAATAATCTTGATAATGATAATAATCTAATGAAGTAAGATTCAGAAGGCAAAATAAATTTAGGCGTAAGTTACGATGGTACATAGCCAACTAGAGGCTTTCAATCAAAAGTTGGAATTTGCTAGCGTTATTAATTTGAGTATGGGATTCATAGTTGATTTTGATATAGGAAAAATGATTTGTCAAACATGCGTGACTACAGCTCTTAATTAGGTGGAAATTCGCCGGAATTTCATTTTTGGTAAGAAGGACATGCCGATCAATGTTCCACAAATCATTGGAGATCCTCTGGTACGATGGAACTTACGATTGTTGAAATGATATGGAAACAATTCAAAAGTTTTGGATTTTGATACACAAAAATGCTCTCAGATGGAGTTTCAAAGGCTTTTACGCACATTGCTTCATTGAATATTTATGGAGCTGATCATGAAGTAGAAAAGGAAGAATGTGTAAATCATGTCGTAAAAAGGTAGGTATCCATATTTCTATACAAAATTCCTGATATTTATATTGTGTATGTATATATTTCGTATCAATTTTGTTTTTTACATAATATCGCACAATTTGGATAAGGTATATTTATCATCTACTTTTTGCAGGGTTTATGTAGGCATAAAAAGTATTGTGAAAGATGAAAGAAGCAGAAAAATTACTTTAGAAGGCAAAGAGTATGGACAACTAAAAGTCCTAAAAATAAAAAACTATCAGAATATTACAAAAAAGCAATTTATAGAAATAAAGGTAATATAAAGGTACATATGAACAACTTTTTCGATATGCTTGAGCAATGACATATTTATTTTCTATATTTTCTATTTTCTTACATGTACTCGTAAACATGTCAATTTATGTGTTATTTATAAAATATGAAAGAAGCCATACATGCGTCTATCCACCATTGTGCTTCTACTGACGAAAAGCCTCAACATTCACATTGTCCAAAAGGAGAGTCATCGTGGTGATTTTATCAATCAGCATTAGTAAAAGTTACTGATTCTAAAACTCACGTTTCTAATATAAATACACCAATAAATGAACTTTATTTGAAAAAAATAATTACTCTTTATGCTCGCCTGACTGATGAATTATTACTGACACGATGTGCTTGATGCATGACACAAAATACCAATGAGAGCCTACACATCTTTATATGGAACAGATGCCCTAAACAAACGTATGTTTCTGCAAGGACAGTAAAAATAGCAGCTTCCCTAGCTAAATTATTATTTTTTTCTTAACAACTTTCTTTGTTCTTTTGTTAGTTTTATTATTTAATTTTGTTAGTAAGTTTAAGTGCCGAGCTTACACACTCACACACATACCAACACTTTACATCCTTTTATTTGTAAGTTTTTACTCCATACAAATACTCGTTAGTTTTGATTTAATAAATGGGCTCATTTTTAACTTACCGATGTTGTCGTCAATTTTTTTATCCTAGAATTCCTTTCCAAAAGAAATCTATTCATTCGCTAACATATTTATCTAAGAAGACAATAAGGGATTGAATCGAACAACATTGTTACCCCGAATCCGACATTATGATATCGAGGTAATCCACGACCTATCTAGCAGTAGCTAAGCCGAACTAAACTTTAACCTGCCAAAATAAACTATGATGCTGTTTTTTTTCCGGCCATGAGTATTGTGCCCCCTTGAAACCTCGAATATTAGTGGGAATATTCGCCGTAGACTTTGTAATAACTAATTGTTCTCCAAGAGTGATACTCCTGTAGAACCCAATGATTTATCAAATTATATTACAAAAGTGACTGGCGTTCAACTTCAAGCTTAATTAATTAACTGAGCCGCGGTACAGCCTGTACCGTAACTTAATTTTCACGTAACTCAAAAGATTTTTGTTGATCTTAATTCTGACCACTATAATTTATTGTTAGCTACACGGCTTAGTGTCATAGTTATTCGTTGTCGGAAAAATACTATGTTACAAGCTAGAAGAGAGAGGAGAGAGAAAGCCAAGTCATAAGTTGGTTCTTACAGTTTTTCGTTGTACGTTTGATACCTCCTAGCGCGCACGCTTTATGCGTGTGAAGACACAAGCACTCTCTTTCTTTGTCAAAGCTTGCGTCTTCAACTATTAAAAATGTGTGCTCTTTCTGGTCAATTGTTAACTGTGCTGATGGCATCTATTCTCTTTCTCTTTCTTCTCGCAATAATCCACGTCACGTACTCATAATTGATAGTCGATCTAAAGGCCCCTTACTTATCAGTTCGCTGACGTCCGCTCTGCGTTACAGATGGTCTTATAAATTATTACATGTAAATAATTACAAATATTTCGATTACTGGCTTTAGGAAAAGAGAGACATAATGAGCTACAAACCGGTCATTATAACGCATATTTATATGTACACTGTAACGGGGAATCAGACTTCCCCGGGGTGGGTGGTGCTAAATAGCTACTCGGCTCGTTGCAGGCTTGGTATGGGGTTACGCGGAATCCAGCCCAGTGAAATTTTAACTACTTTTTCCTGAATAATGAGCCGTCTTTTTCTTTTTCATAGAGATTAACTATAAAAATTTCATAAATTTGAGTAAAATTCATCTAAACGAAGTTTTTGAGATCAAAGTTGAAAATTTAACTGTATACTCGTATATAGGAATATCTATTAATAATATATTAATTATCTATATTTATTAAATATATTTTTATACACATTAAATTTTAACGGTTGGTTAAATAAATATTGTTTTATTCAACGCTGATAAGGAAAATTCCATACCTCGGTGTAAGGTTCACCTTTATCTCGATCAAATACTTCGTAGACGAATATTGCAGTACCTGTATTTCGTACGACTCAAAACGGGCTCGATGACTTGGGCAAGGATTGAATTAACGTCAACAACGAGTACAGAATCCATTGTGACTTAAAAGTAATTTAAAGGAAGAAACTTATTCCGGCTAGCAATGCGCGAATAAAGGAAGACTCCTGGGAACCACTGCTATTGACAATAATAATAATAATAATAAGTCGTGTTGGGCAGTAAAGTAATAAACGACGCGCTACTCAGCAATGCTTCAGCTCCACTGGTTTTTTCCCTGCTCCTTTTCCTGCTGCTTCTCTATGTAAGAACAGCAGGGAGAGCGAGATAGTAAATAAAAAATTACCACGCATTTTTGAAAGATCGCTATTTGTCGGGTAAAGCTGTATTATTTTTTCTAGTCACTTGACGCTCTCATGTTTCCTCTCTACTCTCACCGCTGCCTGAATAATGATGAATGCCTTGACTAGTCTCTCTTTTACTCTCACCATCTATCCGCTATCATGCCCACGTTTTCCAATAGAAGCGCGCCTTAACAAATATCCATTTATTACAATATATTTATATTTGAAATTGCATTAATAAATATAATAAAAGAAATAGCTAAACGATACACGTATATTTAATTCGGAATATATAGTTTTTAACAATATAAAAGGTCATTAATTTATCTATTTGTATTTTTCAGTTATCCAGAAGCTTTAACTTTGGTGACTAATAATAAAGTGAATGTTAAACCTCTCATTACTCATAATTACAATATCAAAGATGCTCTCCAAGCTTTCGAGATTGCTAAAGGAAATCAAGATGGTGTTATTAAAGTTATGATACACTGTGGATTATAAAAAAAATATAAAATTTTATGAGATTATATTACGTTGACCAATTACATTATATTAAAGATTTGAGAATATTTTCAATAAAGTTACTATCTAAGTATTATAACGAGTGACTGCTACTCGTTATGTCTCTCTCTCCCATGTCCTAATATACTTTTGTAAATTAAATGTATATTAATATATATCACTTAAGTTTCAGCAGGCTGAAGTAAGATAGGTGAGCGAGAGAGAGAGAGAGAGAGAGAGAGACGGGTTCGATTATCAAACGCGCGGACCGCGAGAAAGGCACTCGGTTTCTTGGCGTGAGAGATTCGGCTGTAAGGATTCGACGCGAAGACATCCTCGATGTCGGTCCCCAGCGATCCGATCCCCTTTGTTTAATACACTCAAGTCTTCGTCGACGAGATTGACGATGAGATCCAAGGGTGAAGAGCTCGGAGAGTCGACGGATAGAGAAAGAGAGCGAGAGTGTTTTGTGTGTGTGTGTGACGGCCTTCTGCCACCGGCACCTGCCTCTTCGGGGCCTTTTCTTTGTCGATTGAGCGCCTGCTGCGAAGCAACTTCTACAGGGCAGCGATTTGTAAGTACCGTCGCGCACTTTATCTCTCTCTTAAATTGGCTTCTTGCTCTCTCTCTCTCTCTCTCTGCTTAGCCGCACTTGTATACATATATTTTATTTCTTTCTTGTTTATTGTATTTATCGCTAATAAATACTACGTCTACTGTTCTCGCGCGATTTGTCTTAATTCGTTATTCCGCCTATTCTGTCAATCCTTCGTGTTTCGCGTTTAGGCGTGCGGGCCTGGCGCCCCGACTTGGCATTGGACTCACGACGCCCCGACAGCACCTGATGGACGGGAGTCCCGGGTAGGAGACAAGCCGAGCCATTCAGCCTAACCGAGCCCGGATTCGTCTCAACCCTCTTATTATTATTTATTCTTTATGTCAACGGGATGAATCCCCGTTACAGTATGATAGATTATTATATTAGTTGTGTTCGATTATCTAGAATTGTATTTATGAAATGTTATATTACAAATATTTTTATTTTTTGTGTCTTTATTTACATTATTATATATATAAGTAACGATATTAATGTTCGTGGTCAGTTCCACATCAAGTCCCTAATGAAAATATTTTATATTATTTCTTAATAACATTAATCGAAAATATTTTTTATCACAAGTCTCTGTAGAAATTTGTAGTCTTAAAATTAGTTTTTACAAAGTATTTCAAAATTGTAATTTGTTTAATTTTCAAACCCCTTTTTAATATGAATTTTTAGAATTAAAAAAATTTCACCTTTAAATTAACTTTTACTAAAAAAATGTTCCATGATTTTTAAACGTTACATAAAAATTATACAGAGTGAAGCATTTTAATTGTTCCCCCTGGATTTCTCTACTTAAATAAGGTTTGGTGAAAAGAATGAATGAAGGTGAATAAAGGTTGTGATCATGGTGAATAAAGGTTGTGATCATCTTGCTCAAGGACATTTCATGGTTAATTTTATTTTTTCAAATTATTTTTTCAAATACTAATTTTTTTGACCCCGGATGCGGAAAAAACAGAAAATTCTACGTTCAACTGAAATAATGTAGTTAGGGTCCAGATGATCCCCTAAGATCATGTAGATACTAGTTTCTTTTCTTATAGTTTCTACCAGAATAACTGGACATGGATAATGCTATGTTTCAAGAAGTAAAGCACGTGGATATGTATAATGAAGATGAAACATAGGATTAATATAGGAGATATAATTTATTCGATCGCTCCAATACAATTGTTCGCTGAGCCGTAAGCCGCGGGTGCCAGCACTCGAATTGTACATCATATCTGCTGAGCCTATACCTCTATATCATACATCACAATTTCTCCCTTGTTTCAGTGAGGGCTTTACACGGTTTAGAAAACGCTTCGCATGCCGTATCAGTATTACAATTTCATTCACGTGTCGCTTGATAATAATACCCAATTCAGTTTTTACTTTATACGTAGAGGGTAACAGTTGTTTTCGTACTCTGCCTGATATGAGTTTTTCACTGGACGTTCCGTTGTTGTCAACATAACAACAAAGTGACCTGGTTCTATCTTTGTTTTGCGAAAGTGATTTTCGGCGGCTATTTGTTTTTCTTGTTTTTCCTTGAATTTAATTCATAACTGCGGACAAAATAGATCAAACCTTGTTTTAAGTTCTTGGATATACATCAACTTTGCTGGTGATTTACTCGTAGTGTGTACTTCAATAGCCAAATAAAAATTTCTAGATTGCGTTACTCACACTCTCTTCTCCTTGTACAACTTTTCTTACCTTGTCCTTGAAATTGCCTATTAAATTCTCTTCTGCTCTGTTTGTAGAAAAATGGTAGAAGTGAGAAACTTTGTTTCACTCCGCTGATTTTCAAAAAATTTCGGAAATCAGTGCTTGCAAAATTTCGGCCATTATCCGTAATTACATGGTTTAGTAAGCCATGCCTAGTGAAAAATTCTTGAAAAATTTGGGTTAACCAGTTTGCTTCTGTATTCTGCTTGCAATTAACTACTTCCGACCCTTTTGAGTAGTTATCGATAATGACAAGGTACATATCGCTAAGAAAAAGTCCTAAAGAAATCTGTGTGTATTCTATCGTAGGGATTACTTTGACTGATTGTTTTTGATTTACTACATATATTTTATACAACTTTAGTAGGTTTTATATGTCTGCGTCAATTCCCGACTGACAAACGTACGAACGTGCTAAAGCTCTCAGCGTCGGAGCATGCTGTAGCGGTAAATGATATACTCCGTTTAGATCCACAAATTGTTTTTAAAGGCCTATAATCCGTATGTAAAATTATTTTTCGTCCATAAACAAAATCTTAGAATTTTTTAAATCAAAATTATAACAGCCACTTCTTTGTCGTTGATGGTTTTATTCAACTCTTTGTCCGGTATACGTTTTGAAACGTAAGTAATAAGACGTTCTGTACCATTCTCGTACCTGCGTGATAAAATTACCAACAGGCCGTAATAAGACGTGTCACATGCTAAGATTAACTGCTTTTCTGGGTCGTAATGCGCAAGTACTTTAAGTGGAACCAATTCGTGCTTTACCCAGCAGAATGCTTCTTCGCACACTTTAGTCCATAAGAATTCTGTATTCTTTGCGCAATCAAAAAGCGCTTTTAATTTTTCTTCTCTGTTCTGCAATAATTTAGCGTAAAAATTAATAAGATCAAGGAAAGAAGCTGACTACTGTGTATTTTCGGTTCGCGAAGCTTTGCACATTGCTTTTACTTTTAATTTTGCTTTGTGTAGACCATCCTTATCAATAACAAAACCTAATACTTCTATACGTTTTTTTGTGATTTCGCATTTATCTTTATTTTCAAGTGATCATCGTTTGTTTTGTCTATTACATAAATGTTGTCCAAGTACGTGATAGTATTCGATATTCCCTGTAAACATATGATCGTGACCTACTGGAATTCAACAGGCGTGACCGCGGTACCTTCTGTTAGTTTTGTGTAGCGTAACAGTGCGATATGTGTTGTAATTATGAGTAAATCGCTCTACTCGTTTGTTACTGGTTGTTAAATATTGTTATGCAGGATCGATAAATAAATCTTCTTTAATTTAATGTTTCATACTTTAAGGAATAAACAATTTAGAATTTATTATATAACTACAAATTTTTATATATTTTAGTTATGTTACGTTTCATTACGTAATGTATATATATATATATAAGAGCCATTACGAGATCCGCTCGCTCTAGGGCAACGTGGCAGACTAACTCAACTGCTCGCGCTCTATTTACATTTACATACGTCGCTGCGTGCGCATCCTCATACTCATACTCGCTTGTATACAATATACAGCATACACAATTACTTCAAAATCAACACTGGTATTTGCAAGTATGCGTGTACCAAATTGAGTTCTAAGAACGTCAAGCCGTATTGTCAGACCTCGAAAATATCGCTGATCTTAGGGAACGGATATTTGGTCACTTAAAAATTCATATTAAGTGTTATTTAAAATTGCCACAAATTTGAATTTTACCGTTGCTTTTTTGTAGCGGCACAATAGACGTTACCTATTCGCTCGTGTTCAGTTTTTTTAAATGTCCAAATTTCAGAAGTCGTTGAATTTCTTCTTCTCCTTTTGGTTTTAAAACGTATGGTTTGTGCCTTGCTGCAAGCGCGACTGGTTTCGTGTTCGATTTCAAATGTAGCTTGATTTATCTTTTGTGAGAAGGCGATGTAATTTTGTAAACCTCCTTAATTTTGTATGCTGTAATAAACTTAGTACAGTTATTTTTCTGACTATATGAATTGCAATAATAATATTTGATTTTTATAATAATAGTAATAATATTTTTCTCTTAATAATAATAAATTGTTTTTCAAACAACATTAATAACTCAAATCTTCTTTCATAATCAATCTTAAATAAATAATTTCAATAAATCATAAACTTTAGACTTTCAAATTTAAAAGTGATCTCAGCTTTTCAAATTTGAATCTACCAAGAGCTTTTGTGAATATATCTGCTAAATTATTTTCAGAGTCTATTTTTACAATATCAATTTTTTTGAGCTCATAACATTCATTGACGAAGTGATAATGTATTTCTATGTATTTTGATTTTTTAGTTAAATTTCCAAATTTTGCAATTTCTATTGCACTTGAATTATCTTTATAAATTTTAATAGGTATATTTATTTCAATTTCGAAATCATTTAATAAGAGTTTTATAAATTTAATTTCGCTTACAGCTTCTGACAGAGCTACATATTCTGCAGAAGTCGACGACTTTGTGACGCTACTTTGTTTCTTTGTTTTCCAGTATATTATATTTCCAAAAAAACTTATTACATAACCAGATGTAGAACGACAATTTATCGAATCGCCAGCCCAATCAGCATCAACATAGCACTCTAAAGTATCTGCTTTCAAATTCCTCATGTATGTTAATTTTAAATTTTTTGTTAAATATAAATATTTTAATACTCTCAGAGCATATTTGTAATGAGTTTCATTGTAGCAGTTTTGAAATCTACTCATATAATTCACACTATAACTAATATCCAATCTTGTATACGTACTGATATATAATAATGCT